AAAAAGTCAAGATGGAATAAGTCTGGATTATATGTTAAGGATAAAGAAGGTTGGTTTTTGTAATGAGATTATCCTTTATGTTCTTTATCATTTCTTCATTCTGTAACCAAGGCTGATATAGCTCTCCACAGTGCCTCTCATATTTGTTCCCTGAAGTTTCGCTTGGCAAGTGGAAGAAACACACCTCTTCCTCCCAGCCCTCGAGGCACTAGGCACCTTGTGAATGGGTGGGTGGGTCTTCAGCTGGTCTCTATGCTCAGCACCTTCTGGGGGCTCGGTCCAAACATTCGTACGCACAGCAGTCCTGGCTGAAACCTCATCCTCAATTTTTCCAAGGAAACCCACATTGAAATTAAGTGTAGTTATGAAAAATACAATTTTAGATTTAATCTACTCAAAAGCTAACATAGGCATCTAAGTGATACATAACTGGTCAATAGTAAATAGTTTTTAAGGAAAAGAAATATGTATCTGCTAAGACACAGAGTGGACTACACTTACTGGTAAAAGTGAATTTATTAAAGTGCTTATAATTATAAAAGAATATTAAAATGCAAAGAAATTACAAACATTAATTACAAATTTTACATTGTAGGCCACAGTGTATGAAAAGCATGATAAATATCAGTTCTGCTCATACATTAACTTTTCAAACACATTACAATATGAATATGAAAACAGTACAAGATGTGATTCACCAACAGATCACTTTCTGCCCCCTATTGGGAATTAATGTTCTATGAAATTCAAGGTACATATGCAATAAAAGGGAGAGTTTGGTGACAAGCACTTTACAAGATTGTCTGGTTTGGTTTTACAACAAAAATGATGGCGTTCCATTTCTAATGAAATATTTAAAACATCTGAGGGATGTTTAAAGGAAAAAACCCCTGAGTATTTGGTCTAAGGCTTCAACCCACTAAAATTCACAGGCATTACAAAGAGATACAAAGCTAAAATTTCTCTAGTGGTTAATACTGGACAGGTTGAGGGCCAGATCTTCTGTCTCAGGCTCACTGCCATGCCCTGTGGTTTTTGGGGCAGATGACCACCTCCATTCTTCTCTGCAAAAGCTGCTCTCTAGTCTGCAGGCAGTTCCCCAGATTTCCCCACCCCCTACATCACACTTACAGGAACACTGCTGACATCATAGGGGCTACCTGGGTCTCCATGGCATCTTAGCTCTTTTGGGCATATGGGCAGTGTTGGATGTCACCTTGCTGCCTTTTGAAATGTAGAGGATTTTTTTTTTTTTTAAATTCTTGCTCCTGTCCACAGCAGCACATTTTAAACTATGAAGAAGAATCTTTCAGCTGGGGCTAAGAACACATAAATGCACATTTCTTTTAAAATGTATCATATATACAAAGAGATAAGGTAAAAATGTTTCCTTTCCTATGATGACATACAGAGTGAGAAATTGCCAAATCTAACACTAGGAGATAGTTGCACACTTCAGAGAAGAGCAGAGGTAATAAGATGTGACACACCCCTCTGGGAGTGTCTCACGGAGGCTGGGCAAGGGTGCATGCAGTGGCATCCCCTCTACGGGTGGGAACAACACGGTTCCCTCTGGTGGGAAGACACTCACCTTTCTTTCTCAGTGCAGCAGGCCTCATGGCCACTCTGACCACACTGTTAACAGACATTATCAAGAAGGTAGTGAAATGTTGTCCCTGATTCCCTGGGACGGTTCAAAAGCTCAGAATACTGCTTTGATGAATTATATACATTATGCATATGGCACATACACACGTTTTTTTAAAAGTTGACAACATTCATGGCAGGTACAACTTCAGTTGGAGCTGGAGTTAAGCTACTTTATTACACAAACTTTTGGCGTTTGGTCTCTGAAATGTTTCACTTTGCTGTTGGGTTTGGGGCAGATTGGCTCCTGGGGCACCCAAGGATTTAAAAGCATCCAGAGGGTAGAGGGACCCCATCCACGGTCCTGATGGAAGCTACCTCCTCCTCCTCCATCCCGCACTGATTTGGTGCCAGTTAAGGGGGAGAGGTGCGCCCAGTTAACTGACACTTAAAAGGCGGTAAAACACAGCAAGCTGCTAGGCTTAGTAAACTGAGGACAGTATATGAATGGCGATGCAAGAAGTGACCTCCAAGTGACAGCAGGGTTGTGACCATTCTCTTCTGTTACCCTAAACTACCTGATGAGCCTGAGAAGAGGCTGGACATTCAAGTCCAGTCTCCTTCCATGATGAGCAATAATGTAGGCATCCTCTCATCTCTAGTGAAAGCTTACTGTGCAAGGAAGCCACATTCATGATCTGGCAGGTACTTTGGTATATTGATCTCTTCGGCATACAGAAATAGCCAGGCAGGACTCCTCCCCATACAAGGTCCACAGGACTGTGGCTCACAATTAGGGTGCTTGACCATGCACAGTACCATCTTTCCTGCATCATGAGCTATTCACCAAGGCGCTTAGTGATCTGTAATAAAGCACCTCCTGTAATTAGAGAGTAAAAGTCGACTGGTGGGAAACTCAGGGGCTTATCTTTTCTAGACCATTTTGTTGCTAAAAATGTCATTTTTATCATTCAGGTATCAGCTTTTTTCCTCCAAGAACCTACATATCTCTAGAAGAGATAAATTAATTATCCAGCTCAATGTAAATTACACTTCTATAACTTTCCTTTTGTTGTATTATTTCCTTGAGATCTACAAAGCAGTCAACATTGATAAGGCACAGAACATTCTAGGAATGCTCCTAGAAGGCAAAAGATGTCACTGTGGATTAATACAAACATGCTTCAAGACCCTGCTATCTTCATTCCAATTCATTGAGAGTATTTCTTTGAGATGGGAAGACAGGCTAGAATGAAGACTGAAACTCTTTCTTATTAAATTAGGACTTCCTTTCTGTGAAGATATGATAATACACCTAAATACTGTGAATTCTTGAATTTCTTTGCCACTTAATAGAGCACTCAAACTTCATTCTGAGTTAGCTACTTTTTTTTTTGGTACTGGGGATTGAACTCAGGTCCTTGCGCTTGCAAGGCAAGCCACCGAACCGCTGAGCTAAATCCCCAGCCCTGAGTTAGCTACTTTTTAATCACACAAAAGCTATTAAGGCGGAAGCATATCTCTTGTTTAATGATGGTACTGAAAAGAAAAAGTCAACTCTGGAACAGATTTGGTGAGGTGAAGAAATGAAACATTACCTAAAAATAAAGGAGATCCTGTTTGAGAACAGAAAGGAATAACATAATCAAGAGAAAAATCTTCCACTTTAGAAGGGGTGGTTTTTAAGCACCATAAAGAGACTTTTTCTGTGTTACTAGAATTCCAACTTATCAAAAAAGGGTAACATTAGGCTTTCCAGGTGAGAAGTTTTATGCCCTTCCTGATCTTTTAGATTTGGCAATTCTTGCTTCACTAGCTGAAACTGAAAAACGCATGAAAATGGCAACAGTTAAGACTCATAGTTGCCAGAGTGATTTAACTTAAACATTCTCATTAGTGATTCATAATATATTTTGACAGAACTAGATTCTTTAAAGCACTTCACAAAACATAAAGCTCTTAGTCTGATTTTGGTCGCAAGTTGTTATCAACCACTTCTGCCATCTTCTGAATAATAATGCCCATGTTTTTTGTCATGTGATTCTCATGAAGCAGCTTCTGAGTTAAGTATTTTTCTCTCTTGATCTTGCTCTTCGTGCTTTTTGATACATCCGGAATTGCATAGGAAATGAAAAATTTCACAGAGTAGATGACATGCTGCGGGAGAGAAGAGGGAAAGAGTCAGGCACTCTGGGGAGGAGACAGAGTAACTTTGCCGCTGCCTGCCGTGATGGCAGGGCACCTGGCCAAGGTGGGGACACAGCCCGCTCACGGACAGTCGGACACCACAGTGCAGGGACAGCATGGCTCTGCCCAGCAGCAAGACTTAGTTACTTTAGAACTTAGATATCATCAAGTGGTAGAAAAGAACATGGAAGTGTGGATTGGTGTAGCTATGCCTGATTATCACAAATGGATTATTTGTGAAGTTTTAAAATATTCTGATATTGAATGCCTTATATATTCTAGTGATTAGCATCTTATCAGCTATTGTATCTATCAGTCCACTGTCCACTGCCAGGATTTGATGCCCACCACTTAAAGAATGCTCTTTTAAATGTGCTGTAGATCAGTTTGTCAGCACTTTGCTGAAAATTTTTACATCTATGATAATCAGGAACTCTTGCCTGTAGCTTTTTGGGGTTGTATCCTTGTCTGGTTTTGAGACCAAGGTAAAATGCTGATCTCATAAAATGAATTTAGATTTTCTTCTGCTCAATTTTTTGGAATAATTTAAGAATTGGCATTAGTTCTTTAAATGTCTGGTAGACCTGAGCTGCGAAACCATCTGGACCTGGGCTTTCCTTTGATGGAAAAATTCCTATCACTGATTCAATCTCATTACCCAGTATTATTGTGTTCAGGTTTTCTATTTCTTCCTGATTCAATTTTGGTAAAATGTAGGTGTTCTAAAATTTGTGTATTTCTCTGTCATCACAGTTCATTTTATTTAAACAAATATAGGAGCAGAATCTTATTATCTGCAAACAATGACAATTTGCTGTCTGTCTTTCTATTTGGATGCTCTCTTTCTCTCTTGCCTGATTACTCTTGCTAGAATTTCTAGTCCTATGCTAAAAAAAAGTGTTGAAGGTGTTGAAACTATCTTTTCCCAGAGTTAAGTATTCTCTTTCTCTTAGTTATTTTGGTTAAGGGTTTGTCAATTTTCTTTTCAAAAGCAGTTCATTGCATTCATTTGTGCTGTTGTTTTAATTTCAATTTTGTTTATTTCTGCTCTGAACTTTATGTCCTTCTATTCACCTTGGGTTTGTTTTATTTTTCTAATTCCTTGAGGTGCAACAATAAGTTGACTTTTCTTTTTTTTCTTTTTTTTTTTTTTTCAAGTGCTGAGGACCAAACCTAAGGATCTCTTTGCATGCTAGGCAAACTACTACTGACCTCCATTCCTAACCCCATGATTTTAAACTATTTTGATACAGGTGCTTATTGTTACAAACTTACATCTTAGCATTGCTTTTGTTGCATGATAGGTTTTGATACATTGTTTTACTATAATTTTTTCAAAATGTTTTAAAATTTCCTTCTTGATTTTTTTCATTGTTCCATTGGTTGTTCAGGAGTATGTTTAATTTCTATGTATCTGTATACTTTGCAAAGTTTTAATGCTAGGCACTACTACTGACCTCCATTCCTAACCCCATGATTTTAAACTATTTTGATACAGGTGCTTATTGTTACAAACTTACATCTTAGCATTGCTTTTGTTGCATGATAGGTTTTGATACATTGTTTTACTATAATTTTTTCAAAATGTTTTAAAATTTCCTTCTTGATTTTTTTCATTGTTCCATTGGTTGTTCAGGAGTATGTTTAATTTCTATGTATCTGTATACTTTGCAAAGTTTTAAAGTAATTTGTTGAGATGTAATGGAATGTTGTGTAGGTATCTGTTAGGTCCATTTGGTCTCAGGTGCAATTTAATTCTGTTTTTCTATTGATTTTCTGTCTGAATGATGTCCAGTGCTGAAAGTAGGGTGTTAAAATCCACTGTTAGTATTGCATTGATGTCTATCTCTGCCTTTAAGTATATTAATATCTGATTTATAGACAGTAGTACGTTGGTTTATGAACTTAATTCTTTCCATGATTCTGGTTGCAAACCAAATTGGTCACAAACCAAATCAAATTTCCCCACAAGGTCAACAATGAAACTAACCATTAAATTTGATTTGGTTCCTGCCCAATTCAGTGTGTGACCAGAATCATGGAAAGCATGAAGTTTGTGAACTGAGGTACTACTTCTATTTCGATGCTCTAATACGGGTACATATATATTTACAAATGTTATTTCTTTTTACTGAACTGACCTCATTATCATTATATAATGACTTTTCTTGTCTGTTTACTACTTTTAAAAGATATATTTTCCTAGAAGCCAAGGAGGTTTCAAGGAGTACTGAGTAATCATAATCATAACGACGTAATCAATTATGTCAAATGTTGTTTGTAAGATAACATAATGGGGAAGTGATCCTAGGAATTTAGCTGCACAATGGCCATTGGGAAGTGTGGAAGAGGTATTTTCAGTGAAGTGGGGGGGACAAAAGCTTAACTACAGTGGGCATATGAAGAAAGAGGAAGAGGAAGAATCACAGACAGTAAGGACTGACCACTCTTTCAAAGGCACCGGCCACAAGGAAGAAGAGAGAGATGGAGCAAAACTAGCGAGGTAAATAGGATGAAGAGAAATTGGTTCCTTTGATGATGATGGAAAAGTGTAGGAGTGGAGAAGAGACATTTTTTGTTTTGTTTTTTGACACAAGGTCTCACCCTGTAATTCAGGCTGGCCTTGAACTCACTATGTAGCCCAGGCTGGCCTCAAACTTGCAGTGATCCTCTTGCCTCAACCTCCCAATGCTGGTACTATAAGCATGTGCTACCACACCTGGCTAAAAGAGGTATTTTTTCTTTCATCTATTTCTGGAGAAGGCAATACTTATAGCTAAGTGGATTTTCTGTTATGTCACCTTCCATTTCTGGGTTAAAGCCAACATAGTGTGATGCTATTTTTTAAAAATATATTGCTAGATTTACTTTTCACTTTCTAAAACGATCTTTGCATCTATGCAATGAGACTGACCTTAATTTTTCTTTCTCTCTTTATTCTTGTCTGACTTTAGACCTAGGCTTAGCGTCACCAAATGAGTTGGAGAGTATTTATTTGCTTTTTTTCCCCAGTCTGAGGGAGTTTGCATAAGATTGAAATGATCTGTTCCAAAACATATCACTTTCCTACAAAACCATAAAGGCTGGTATGTTCATTGTGGAATGATTTTTTAGTTACTCAAAATTATGTTGTAATTCTAGGTTTGTACTACCTCCTATAGCATTTTGAAGATGTGTGACTATATTTGTTACAGTTTAGATTTCAACTATCCCTCCCAAAGTCTCAAGTGTTCAGTCAGAGATGGGGTTTTTAATTGGATGATGGGAACACTATACTCATCAATGGATTGATCTGCTAATAAATTTATAAGTAAATGTGCTATTAGGTGTAGGGCCTGAGGATGTGATGCAAAAGGGTGGATTTTTGCCCTAGCTCTTCCCTTCTCTCCTTCAGCTTGGCCACCATGAGGTGAACGCCATTCCTCAGCCATAGCTCTTTGCCATGATCTTTGTGCTTTGGAGTCAGCTAACCATGGACTGGACCCTCTGAAATGATGAGCCCAAGTGAATCTATTCTCTTTTAATATAAGGGTGTCAGATATTCTGTCCCTGCAATCAGTTGAAAAGCTGACTAATCCAATGCTCTTCTGTTGCTTCTTTTTGTTTTTCTTCAGGGTCTCGCTGTGTAGTTTAGGCTGGCCTTGAACTCACTATATAACCCAGGCTGGTCTCCCAAGTGCTGGGATTACAGGCGTGCACCACCACGGCCAGCACAGTTGCTTGTGCTCTAGTTTCAATTTTTTGTCAGTCATTTATCTCATTTCTCTGGTGTGCTACCTTTTCCTTATGTTTAAGTGTGGATTTCTCTGATAGTTCTGCTTCACATATACAGGATTTCTGCTCTGAGCTGATGTTTTCATCTATTCTGGAAAAATTTCCTCTCTTCCATTGCCCATTTTCTGCTTCCATGATTTTTTTAAACCAAATTATAAAGCCTCAGAATTTGTTGTCTAGTGTTTAGCTGTAAAAGCCCTCTCTGAGAAAAGTACAAGTGACGAACAAATATATGAAACAGCATTCAACATCTCTGACTAGTAGAGAGATGCAAATTAAAACAGTGCTAAAAGACTCCATCGTACACCATAAAGAATGGCAATTATCAAAAAAACTAAAAAAATAACAAATGCTGGCATGATTGCAGTGAAAAAAGAACCCTCTTTGTGGGTGGAATGTAAACTGGGACAACCATTACGGAAACCAGTATGGAGATTTCTCAAAGAACTGAAATTTAAAATTCCATATGATCCAGCTGTCCCCCTTCTAGGTAACTTCCCCAAAGAGCTAGAGATGTCATACTATACTGACACATGCATACCAATGTTTACAGCAGCACAACTCATAATAGTCTAACCCTGGAAGCAGTCTATACACCCATCAACAGATAACTTGATAAAGAAAATGTGATATTTATACACAATGGAATGCTACATGGCTATAGAGAAGGACAAATCTGAGATATTTTTAGGAAAAAAGTCAGCTGCACCTGAAAATACAATGTTGAGTGAGATAAATCAGACACACAAACTTAAATACCATATAGTATCTGAGTAAGGCAAAGGACAAACAGCACAATAAAGGACAGATAGAAGGAGACAAGGATAGATCTCTTACAAATGGGAAGGGGTTCAAGAGAATGTAGGCAAGAAAACAGGGGGAGAGGAAGGGGAAACAAGTGGTATAAAGATATGCATGTACAGGAACCTGATAACCTAAATGAATGTAAATATTGTAGGTCATAAACATGAGATCAGATGAATAATAAGAAGAATTAAAATGGGGAAGGGAGATTTAGAGGAGGAGGGAGGGAGGCAGGAAGGAAAGAGATTAGAAAGAATCAAGCCGTATTACGTACAAGGTACCCACTCCCCAAGATGACTGTAAACTGCGTGTGCTATAAACATGTACTAATTAAAAAAAGAAAACCCTTTTTATTTATGCCACTTTTGGTTATGTTTTCACATAAATTCTGAGGCTTTGTAATTTGGTAGTCACTCTAGAAAACAAGTTGGCTAGATCAACTGAAAATTTATAGCTGTCTTGGTCATTTTTCAGAGCTACTTAATAGTAGGGATGTAAAACCTACTGTAAGATGTTGGTATATTATTTTATTTATTTTTTTCTTTTTTTGGTACCGGGGATCCAACTCGGGTCCTTGCGCTTGCGAGGCAGGCCACCGAACCACTGAGCTAAATCCCTGGCCCGACCTTTGTATATTATTAAAAATGCAATAATTGAAGAATATGAATAAAATTGTCACAGCAATAAAAGTTTCTTTGGTGCACAGATTACATGGTAAGCCCTTTCTAGTTCAACACACTGCTCAGTGCCCCACATTTTAAAAGGCACTCAGTTAAAAATGCATTGAAGGGAACTAAACCCTTCTTACACATAACATGGTTTTAACTTTTAAAACAGACAACCAAGCCAGGTGTGGAGGTGCATTCCTGTAACCCCAGCACTATGGGAGGTTGAGGAAGGAGTTCAAGCCCAGCCTGGGCAATGTAGTGGCTCAGTCAGACCCTGTGTCAAAATAAAGGGGTGGGGATGTAGCTCAGTGTGAAGGCCCTGGGGTCTCATCTCTAGTACCCCAAAAAGAACAAAGCAAAAAGTAAAAATTTCACTTAGAGTATTATGAATATGCCAAACCTAATCAATAATGTCCTAAGATAATTCTTAGCATGCAATAAGCAATAAGAAAATATACATTTTAAGTTCAATTGGTAATACATTTTATATAAGATCTACAAATATGTGGCCTTAAAACTATTTCAAAATACCCTTGCCTTACCTCCATGACAATGACAAAAGCCAGCTTGGCAGCAACCACATGCCAGTAGTAGATGTTGTGTTTATATTCTTGGGGGTGTCCAGGTGGATTTCGGAAATCACGATATCTGAAAACAAAAGTCCATATTAGGAAGCAGTTTTTTGATCAAATACTATAAATGAGCTCTATTTTTAAAAGAAGTCATATTTTTAAAAAAGTCATATTTGATGCAATGTTCTTTTAAATAGGACAATATATACATTTTCTCCTAGAGCTCAATTTGGCAATAAAACTCTGAAAACAATGACTCCAGAAATTACTCATTGAACATATAATCAGAAAATGATGGTAATAACGGATTCCATCTGCGAAGGAATCTATAAGAGTGCAAACATTTAAAAAATTGCAGGACCACAGCTTTATCCTTGCTTTCTAAAAAGAGCATAAAACCATTTAGCGTATTTTCAGGATCATGTTTGTAAATTCATTTATAAAACGGTATTGGACCCACTGCTCCCTACTGAGGACACAGCCCACTTGTTATAATTTTTCTACCCGATTCCTTGTGAGTCACTGCGTGCTACTATTGTCAAGAGTGTCCTTCTCAGGTAGCTCATCTCTAATTTCTTGCCTATAATCTATCAGACCTAGAAGAGTCTGATGAGATTTATGTACAGTACTAGGCAGATTCAGTGTAGAATTCTAAAGTGGCGCTACTACATATAACTTGGAAACATTTATTCTGAGCTTTTTTCTGGTTTACGGGTTGTGTTACTGAATCAGTGAAGGCTTTGAAGAGTTGGACTAAATAAATTTTAAAGTCTCCTTTAGAGAAAGACTGGGAAAAAAAAAATCTATGACCTATAGTCAACAAACCATCAACTGGTAATTTAGTTGATATATACCTCAGAAAATCTTACCAACCATTAGAACCAATGCAGAGAGCTTTGGAATACTTTTAGAAAATACTGTTAGGCATTTACATCTTTTAATTTTGTATATCTTTATTAAGTGAGGGTGATGCTGTCTCTTAGTTTCCGGTCATGCACATATAACAAATTAGTCCTGGCACTTAAATTATCTTGGTTTCGGAACTCTTGAAGTTTCTTTATTTCTAATACATAAAACTTCCTCCTGGATTGGTTCCTTTGTAACCACTTGGAACTCTCAATCTTCCTTTTCTGGTTTGGTTTGACAACTCTAGCACTAATCTTTAAGAATTTTAACATCTTCGTTTAGTTTGATTGCAAAGAAAGTGGGGGGTGGGGCAACCCATTCGGGACCCCTCCTGTCCCCCAGGAGCTATTCTTATTCCCCAATACATTTTCCTTCTCTAAAAAAGAAAGCACCCTATGGGAAGACATGTCTCTAGTAACCGAAGTAACACCAGATGGAATTACACCACAAGAAAAACTCTTCTCAAGTGAGGTGAATTCTTAAAAACCTCCGAGCAGGTAAAGCAGAACTTGCCTGCATGTGGTATGGTTACCAAGTCCCGAGTTTGAGTCTGGTTTGCTTTTGTCTTTGAAGTCTGAGATGTTGAAGATAGAGAGCGTGTTGTTGATGTAGCCCTCCATAGTGTAGTCAGCGTGGTCCCCGTAGGGAGGGATGGAGAAGGACCAGTAATACACCAGGCGAGGGATCATGTCTGATGTGAAGGCAATGATCATGGCCTGTTTAGGGAGGAAAACAATGGAGCAAGCATTCGTTTCGGTTTGGCTAACCAACAGGCCAGAGTTACTGTCTGCATCATGTTGATTTCAGTAAAATATTCAGAAATCGTAATTCTTTAAGGATGAAGTGTACACATGTCCTAAACACCGAGGAGCATCAGCTTTTACAAGGTGGTGCCTGCTATACAGGCTCACGGTCTCACTCTGCTGTATCTCTACGTGCACATAACCCACTCCGGCCCTTCTCTCTTCCGTGCTTCCTCTCCCCTTTGCCTCCCTCCTCCCCTTCCTCGAATATCTCCCTTCTACTTTCACGTCTTTAAAACATTAGTTTCTAGTTTCCTCATCTGAGAGAAAAGCCATACAATTTAACTTTCTTAGTCTAGCATATTTCACTTAACGCACTGGTCTCTGAGCAGAACATTGAGAGTATTTCTTTCTGGTCTTCAATGCTAAGGGAAGATCTGCAGGTGAAATGCAGAGGCCTTAGAGCTGCCTACTCTGCTTTGAAATATAATACCATCTATTCAAAACCAACTGTGAACGGGGGTGATGTGGCGCTGTATGTGATGTCAGTTAGGATTTGTTTTCCAAAAGTTAGTGTTGTCAACCGTAGGAATTCTATAATTTTAATAACCTTAGTGATATAATTCCTTTGTAGAATGATGCAAAATTGATTTTTTAAATAAAAACAATTTAAACTGCATAGAATATTTTCTCAGATCTAAATTTAAATAACAGCTTCAAATTAACATTCCCCAGCTCTCATAGTATCTAGACTTGTTTAGATAAGTCAACCTACAGCCTCATTTACATTTGTTTTTTTTTCTGGTTCTGGGATTGAATTTAGGACCTTGCGCTTATGAGGCAGGTACAGTGCTCCTGAGCGAACTCTCCAGCCCAGACTGATTTACTTTAAACTCAGTTCATACAGGTTTGTTTCTTCATTACAGAATAAGAATTTTTTTACATAAAATATTATGGTGACAAGAAATCATACTGCAGTTGTTCTATTTACAAAGTCAAGCAATGATGTCGGTTTTGTTAGATCTGTATCATGCCTCCAAAATTACAAAAGATTAAATGGATACAGTTATGAAAATTATAAATTATTTAGCAATATACAGAAAGCCTTACTATACTTTTGTATAAAAGTAATAAACAATCATAAGCCTGTGTCTGACAGACATTTATTAGGATATAAAACTATTAATGAATTATATAAAAATTTTCTAAAATTCTTTAATTTGGACTTTAAATTTTCCAATTTGTAATACTTGTTTGAGGGAAAGAGAAAGAATATAGTGGAAACCAAATTCTATTTGAATAAACAAAGTGAATAGTTGAGTCATTAAAACAAGCAGAAGAACAGACATGTTTCTGGCTCAATGTGATTTTTAATAGCACGCAGCTGAACATATGGCTTAAACACAAGTGAGACCGCAAACCAACAAACAAGATCTAAGGAAAAGCAAAAAACAAACAACAAAACAAAAACCAAGGAGCTCTTTTACTGCAAAATTCCCCCCAACTTTGAATCAACTTTGTCATTTCCTTCAATGTAAAAAAATCTGTATGTGTGTGACTACCTGTCGGTGATGAGGGGAGGCAAGAATATTGTGTCCTTTTCCAGATTCCAGGAGATTAAATTTCCTGGCATCATTAACTCAACTGTTATCTTTTTATAAAATCACCTGCACTGTGCTTCAGGAAGCTACAAAAATTCCAACAAGGAAGATAATTCTATTGTCTTCTGACAAGATACTTTTTCCCCTGAACTGAGCTGCTTGGAGAGATGTGCTCCAAGAGCACAAATAAATGCAGTGTATTTCATTTCTCATGCTGTTCTGCACACAGTTTTCCATTTATATCAAAATAAATTAAAATTGGCCTTCAATAGCAGATGCTCTGGCAGATACAACAATTGTCAATTCAGCTTATTTATTGAACCAGCAGCTTTAAAAGAGGTGATTTTACACCAAACTCCTGCTGGATGCCCACTCTCACCCCTGATGGCTATTCTCTTCTTCCTCCTTACATACATTAAGTTGTGGACATACACAGTAGGTATTTGAGGGGTTGAGGTCCTATGTGTGAGGGGATACATACACATTAAATGCCTGCATGCATATTTACATACATACATGTGTATGTGTGTGCACACTGCGTCTTGGAAGTGTAACAGTCCTAGTAATACAGAAAAAAAGGTTACCCATAGTTTAATCAATGACAAAGTGAATAAGTAGTTTTCCTAGGATAATTCAGAAGAGGAAAACAACTATTGGACAAGGCCCAGTAGCACCAATTAGCCAGTGTGTGTGTCTGTACACAGACCCAGTCAGAGAAGCCTTGTAAACACAGCCAATCTTCCATCTGTGCTAATGGAGCGGAGCCATGGCATGGGCTCTGAGAAAAGGTGCCTGATACAATCAAGCCAGAATGCTTGAGGAATAGGGAGGATGAGTCAATTGCATTTTCTGGTTGCTGAAGGTCAAACAGAAACCATTTTAGTTTCAAAGCTTGTTGCTGAAAATTTTCCTTAAGTCACCCAAGTCCACATTTCTGCTCTGTTTAGTCTACTACAGCATATTGAACATGACAGATCTGTGCTTTATGACTGTGGAACTTGAAAGGCCTTGCTGTCATATTTCTGAAGATTAGTCTTCATTTGGAAGCATAGTGGATGTTTAAGGTTTGGTATGTGCTATTTGGGTGAGAGGAAACCGACACACCTGTGAGTTGGTTTTTATGTGTGATTTGCAACTTTCTCCAAAAAGTAGAGACAGCATGCAATTTAGATACATTGAGGGTTCTGGGGAAGAGGGTTTCAGGTAACTTGTTTTACTGTACACAACTGTACCTATCATCTAGGCTGTGACTTATTTTCAAATTCTAGTGCCTTTAGTTGGGGTACCTGTCAGAGTCATTGTTAATGATGTTGAATAAAGAAAATAAAATATCAGCTAACATTCAAAAGTGACTAGGCTCCCTGTGTTCTATTCATTAAGTCAGAGAACTCACAAATCACTCTGTGGATGGAATTATTCATGGTACAGATGATAAAATGAGCCTGTGAAGTGCTAAGCCCTGGTCTAAGTTCACACAGTGCTGGGAAGGGGAGCTCAGATGTACCTGAGTCTACAGCCTGCAGTGCTCAGGAATGTCCCTCTCCAGAGATGAACCCACAGGCAAGAAGAAAAGGCTGAGGATTTGGAGCAAGCGTGTCTAGAAATTAAAACTGGGAAAAAATTATGTTGGGCAAGCTGACATGGGGATGAGATTGGTAGTGAGATATGGGGGCAAAGGGCACTGGTTTTAAGGTTATATTCAGGGAAGGAGGTCCTCTGATGAGTTGGCATGAAGATTACTATTCCTGAGAACTCTGTTAGCCTGTGCAAAAACAAGACTGTTCACATTCAATTAATACAGGCTGTAAACAACTAAGTGTGTCCCCTCACAGCCAGGACACAGGGTATGAAGCTGCTTCAGCCAAGAATATGGCTAGCGGAGACCTAGTGGCAGGGTGGGAAGAAGGCTGGGACTCATCCTTAACACACCAGTTTAAGAACTGCTGCCGTAGAGTCAAGGAGTGTAACACAATCAGAAATGGATATTTTGGAACATATAGTAAAATATGGTGGCATAGTCTTATTTTACAGTCCTGAAGTACTAAATGAACACATTTTAACCTGCATTATGAAGGTAGTTTTTGATAACTCCTCTCATAGTCCTATGAGGATTAGAAGTGTTAGTACTTATTACCATTATTACCATATTTCTGTTGAATAAAACTTTATCAAATGAGCAACAATGGTACCTCTGTAGGAGGTCTTGACTTGGTAAGTCAAGAATAATAGTTATGAACAAAATGTTAAAAGAATGACACTTTAATTCTGTAGCATATAATTATATTGTTTGTACAGATGATAGACCTGGCACAATCCTCCCATTTTAAAAAGTACCAAACATTACATTTGATTCCATAGGTAGTGCCCTAAAACACTCTGGAGCCTTTGAATATCTCTACTTTTTGCAGCCTGTGTCTACTCACATTGGTCACCACAGCCAGAACTGCTATTCCTTGCATGATGGGCTGCCATGCACCGATGTCCTGGGCTTTTTCTGGCACCATGCGTCTAAACTGGGTAGTCAGTTTCCATGCGTCCACTCTTATTTCCAATATATTGTTCACCAGAGCCAACAGGGGAGCCAGTGGGAAAGAGGCCACAAATAAGGTGACGAACCCAAACTGAATAACTGTCAATGGAATGGACACACATCATGGAGTGGTGGATGGACAGACAACAAGTTTCCTTTACTCTTACAAAGACAAAGGCAGACAAAGAACTCAATCTCGGGTAACAACCATTCCACAGTAAAACAATTTAAACAAAACACAAATGTGAAATTTCTTGAAAGACAACTAATTACAGCTTATTTCATTTATATATACACATTTACTAAGAATATATTGAAAAATCTTTAATCACCCACTAATTATTTTCTGGTAATGAACATTTTAAGCATGTTATTCGTTCTTAATGTTGAACTAAAAGGATATCAGCAGATGGTTTGTGACTTGGGATTAAAAAAAAAAAAAGCACCACCAGGAATCTATGCTTAGAGAATGTTGGAGGGAATATGCTAAAAAGAAGCAAAGAAACAGACCCCTGTAAGTTGGTGAATGCAAGTATAATGTGAACATAAAAGCTAAGTCATAATCCTCCTTTACAATCACTATCATGACGCTGTTGCAATCCACATGGTCATAGTAAGTCAAGAAACTAGTGATGGCCTAGAAGTTTTTTATTTTGGTACCAGGGATGGAACTTGGGACCTTGTGCTTGCGAGGCAGGTAGTGGCACCACTGAGCTAAACCCCTGGCCCAGAAGTTCTTTTTCTTTATCTGAAATTTACATGACTGGATATAAATTAGGCCGCCAATTTGAGAGCAGCTATACCATAGAGAGCGAGAAGAAAGTAAGCAAGCCAAAGACCTAGAAGAGAAATATTTCAGTTTTAGTCCCTTCCTTTCAACAGGCAGCCCTTTAGAGAGTTTGTATTTAATGCTGTGGATGAGAGAAAAACTTACAGGCCCTTTTAAAAGGCCTATTGCTTAGCTACAGAGCAGGAAGGAGCCTGGGCCAGGAAGGCAAGGTTTTGGTGGGTGTGATTATGTAGGAGAAACTAGCATTTGCTTCTGAGAGGGTAAATTCTGTTACAAAAGAAGATGGGCTGGAAGGATCTGGTAAAACACACAGGCCAGGCAGGGTTGGTCATATTCAGAAGGGTCAGGCAAGCAAAGACCAGCAGTAGTCAGGCCACAGAGTCAGCAGCAAGAGCAATAACTAGTGATAGCCTGTGTCTGAGTCTCCTAAATCTCTAACCCATCACCCTAGGGGCCAGGTAGTAAGAGAAAGGTGGAGTCAGCTGGAAAAGAGCAAGGGCATCCTGCTGGGGGAGGAGGGCTCATAGCACCTGCTGGAGGGGGAAGGGTCAATACTGCCAGACTTTCTGACTGTTCAAGAGAGGCCAGAAATCAGGAGTAGAAAAACAATAAACCCAGTTGCAAACCCAAACAAGGAAAGATCCCATTTGTAAGGACAAGGAAAGCAGACTATTTTGACATGAATTAACAAAACATGTTAAGACCGTTAGGGTAACTGACAAGAAAAAACAGCAACAATGAATGGAAGGACTGCCATGCCCTCGATTGGGCAGACGCAAATTGGGGAACTTAGCACATTTTTCTCCTATTGACTCTAAGACAAATTCAGTTAACGCAAATGTATAGTTTTTAAAAAGCTGAAAGGTGATGCTAAAGTATAAACAAGTGGACAGGTAAATCATGAAGAGGAATATTCCACTGATAATATTGACATTTTGGAAAGCAATAGTAAAATGAGATCAGCTCTAGGAGACAGCAAGTATATTAGACTATAACATAAAAATTGCAGAACTAGTGCATAGACAGCATGAATTCAAACAAAATGGCTTAAAGCAGACATAAACGTATTCATGAGATCTAAGTGTATCATAATCAGTGGATTCCAAGTACTTAAAACGACTAGCTAAATCATTGGAAAAATGGGTACAGGGTCATCATTTTTTTAACCTTAAAAAATTCCAGATGGATTAAAAATTTTATACTTAAAAATACCAGAAAAAAAGCTCAACGTGATATAATTTGTTCTGATATTTAAGTAAGAACTTTATCTCCTGAAGCCAAGAACAACTAAAAACATCATTTCAACAAGGTAAAAACACCAGTTGATAAAAATATCTCTTGCCTGAAACTTTTTTTTTTTTTTTTATACTTTTTTTTTGGTACGGGGGTTTTAACTCGTTCTTTCC